ACCACCGTCGCGTATTACCGCACCGTTGCCTCCTGCGTCTTGTCCTCCATCGTCGCCACCTCCAGAGATTCCAGCGACCGGCCTCCCGCCGCCGCCTCCTCCACCGCCGCCGCCGCCACCACCTCCAGTCACCTCCACGGCCTCTCCGTACTTCCTCTCCGCTTCTCTCATCGTCCCTCTCTTTAATAGCGAGCAGAACTTACTAGCGCCAACTCCGTGTGTATACATGCGCGCGCGCGTATGTACGGTAATACATGTCGCGCGCGGCAGGAACGACGGAATGGAATTAGGGTTGCGAGAGCTAACCAACGCGGATATTGCCTTTCGTTACGTCGCCAGAAATAGTTGCGCGTTAGTTATGCCGATTAATCCATTAGCTTCCGTGCCGCTACCGTTCGCGTTTCCATGTACTCTATCCACATTTATCTTCCTTTTACGGCGCGACGATAAAATTACGCTCCCGGAACGATCCGTATCATCTCTTACGCGCGCTGCTTTGATATCACGCCCCTTCGCTAGATGCGGCGCGTGAAAAATCGCGCTTTTTCGCGTCGCCGCGAACGACAATTCTCGTCTGATTTTTTTTTAATCCGACGGTGATCGCGGTGTCACGCCGTTGTGAAATCACACGCCGTCGAAGCCCGTCAGTTGTAACGGAACGGTAAAAGCGCACGTGCTGCGAGTGGCAAACGAACACGGGCGGCAGATGAGATAATAGATAATAGACACAGAGGCGATTGTTCGCACAAGCGCTTTGAATAGACCCCGCGTGTGGCGGCGGCTCGTAAACGAGGTTCCTGCGAGAACCTGCCCTCGATTAAGATTATTATCCTTTTTGCACATCGCGCCGTTTACCGTCGCCGTTTACGTTCGTGGCTAGAATTCAGCCCTGTTACGTCCACGCAACGCCTCCGTTAATATATGCGGCGGAGCTTAATTTGTCGATTTTTTTGTTTAATTAATGCATCAATTAATTTTCGCCGAGCGAAATTTCAAGTCTAATGAGTTCAATAAAATATAAATAATAAATTGGAGCGTTAATTAATGCATGACATTTTATAATTATTCACATGTGGAGATTACAAGTACGGACGGTGCGTTTTAATTGTAGTGCACTCGCGTACTTCATTTGTGTCGACGATTCTGAAAAACCGTTCTACGTGCCGCGGCCGAAGAGTCGAATTTCCGCAGAAAGCGGCAGAATATTACGCACGAATTCCTTCGCAATTGAAGTCCTGTCACTCGTACGCGATCTCCCCTGTCAAGCGTATCCCAAAGAATGCGTATAAACGACGTCAATCTCGACGTCACCCCCTCCCCACCTCCCTCCTCGTCGGTCTTATCAAACCAGGAACTCATTCGCGCCTTTCCCTTTAACGAAACGACGTTAATCTCTCGCGTTCGCTTCCTCCCTCCTTCCGCCGCGGAAACGTTTTTCGCTCATTTCCACCGCCGGATGCGCGCTCTTCCCCCGTTGCGTGCGTACACACGAGTACAGCGCAGCGCGAGCCGGCAGCAGCGTGGGTGTCCGTTCTCTCAACAAAACACGGCTTGCGACACGGCGGTTCCGTTGCATGACGGAACGCGAGGTTAAAAGAGGAACGCCTCGCGCGAACAGGTTCCCTTCCTTTTCCACGATCGCCGACCGCCGAAGGGAGTAGCGAGTCGCGACGACACAGTCGGACGCTGACAATCAACCGCGTGTTCTCATCGCGCGTTTACGCGTTGAACGCGGTGCGAGTGAACGCGGATGTGAGAGAGCCATCCCAAAGCTATTCTGCAATTATTCCGAATTATCCTATTCCGGTTCTATTACACTTCTCTCTCACACGTATTATTATCCAAAGTGATAGTGCGAAAAGGTGTAAAGAGCCTTGCCGACGCGAGGAAGGATCGTGATATATTAATTTCCAATCTCCAATTGACGGAAAGAAGTGCGAGATTTTTATGACGTATCCAACGGTGATAATCATCGAAGCACTTTTGTCTTTGCCGAATACGGATTTTCAATTCGAAGCAATTAGGACTCTGGCGAGTTATTCGCCTTGCGGAATCGACGATGGAATTCGACGGCATTGTACTTTGTTAAATTATACTTCAACGAAGCTATAGCTCGCTCAGAACTTTTCCAGATATACGCTTCTCATTTACCGACGAGGTGCGCTTTGATAAATCGCGCGCATTCGCCATTAGCCGTCGTTCCTGGACGGAAAAATGCTACTCGCGCGCGCTAATAAACAAAGCGCGCAACGTCGAGCGGGCACGGTTCTAAAATTGTGAACGTTCCCACGGAGTCGAGTAATTTGTACCGTTCGAGACGCGATCGTTAAACTCTTTCGTGCGGCGATTTAGCAGGTTTCTTGCTGGCAGCGGCGAGCTCTCCGCCAGCCGGTCAGCAGTCAGCGAGGGTTTTAGACATTCGTGTAATTCGAATCGAGCGGCTGTTATTAATCCCGCGGACAAACAATTACCCGTGAAATTGACGAAATATCTGGGGAGACCGCGTGCAACTTTTTTTTTATTTCACAAGCAAAAAATGCGATTGGCGCGTAAAGACAAAACCTCTTTTGCGAGCCTCGCGTTATCAGAGGAATAGAAAAACGGTTCTTATCAATGGAAAGCGGAATTTAAAAATCTAAGCAACGCCATAAATGCGTCGAAACGAGGTCAATTTTTGTTATTCTAAAATAAGAATGATAAGAAGAGCTTTGGGAGTAAATCGAGCAATGAATATTCAAAATAAATAACCGAATGAATTAATCAATAAACACTCAAAAAAATGATCTTGCAATAATAGCTAAAATTTTCTAGGTGTAAAAAATTAACTAAAACAGATAAATGATTAGCAACTGTTGTGATATTGCATATGTAATTACTTAATCAGTTTAGATGACAGAAACAGAATATATATCTGTATTGTTTGTGAACTTTAAAAAGAAAGTTTCTCTAAAGCGCCTATCTATATAAGATCAATCACGTGTTAGATCATGCAATGAATAACATTTAGCAATGCTACCTAAATTTTTCAGAAGCTATTGCTAGAACATTACTGCTATAAATTCTATATGTGACAAACAATGTTTTCACAGATACGAAAAATAGCGATACATTCTTGTTGCGATATCTAGAAATCTAACTACATCAGCGAAATATTTTTTTGAGTGAAGCAGGCTGTTTTATGTTTCCATTTAAACCCTAAAGAGCCGCGTGAACTTTGAAATTGTTACTTCGACTAAATGAGTTTTTCTCCAATCGGTTGTCGAGGGGTCAGGTGCCTAGGCAGAAACCAGAGAGAAAGAGAGAGAGAGGGAAGGAGCGCGCGCGCGCGCGCGCGCGACTGCACGCAGTCGGTGTGGCGAAACCACAAGGCACCGCTCGCACAGAGCGCGGACGTAGGACAGTGCATTTAGGGTCGATGCCCTCCAACCGTGCGCCGTCGATGTTCGGTGTGCTCTACGTATTTTCTCCTTATCTCCTTCTTTCTCTCTCTCTCTCTCTTTCTCTGCTTGCAGCGTGGCTTTCCGCCGCCTCTATTCTCGCCCGTCTTGTCCCCCGGGCTCTCTATTCCACCGGCCGGATACTTGTTGGACGGTCCTCAGAGGCTCACATGCCTCTCGCGCTGATCGAGGGGACGAAGGGCCCTCGCGCGATTCGCTCCCGTTGGGATAAAAAGCGAAGGAGAGGAGCGGGAGGAGCGCTCTCGAGAGCCATAAGATGTCCGACCGCGCGCGCGATTATCCCTCTTATTAAATTAAACGCGGCTAATTCCAAGGGCAAACTGATAAACGGGCGTATTTGCTTAATGACACAGAAACACAGGTAATTGCGATCGCCCGAGACAGTTCGCGTCCGATGCGTCCGTCGAAGCGGTCTCCGGGAATCGCCCGTGCTTTGCGGAAGCGATTTGCCCCGTCCATCTGCTTTCCGCGCGGGGCCCGTCGGTGCCGATAACGCGTTCGCGAAAATGTTACTTCCACCTTTCTCGCGTCTTCTCCCCCCCCCCCCGAGTTTTTACTTAATCTTGAAAAGAGGTATTAAAACGAGGTGTTCGCTGGATTGGCGGTAAAGGGATTTCATTTTCTGCTATCTCTACAAGCGTGACCTTGTCCAGGAACCATACACGCTGTTATTATCCACTTTATTAAATTAAACGAGAGCGCTTCACACAGAGGAGATAATGAACGTGACTTGGAATTAATGTCCCAACTTTTTAATGCATTTAAGCACTCGTAAAAAGCAATAAATTATCTCATGTGTAATTTAACGCGGCTAATTATACAAAGTGTCGCCGTGAATGCGCGTGGTGTGCATTACGTCTTCTGTTTTTTTTTTAATCATCAAATTTATCTCGAACTTTGATCGGCTCCGCCAAGGCGTGCGCGCGCTTAGAAACGCGATGCAATTTTCTGCACTATTATCATAAATCACCTGCGAGATAATAGAAATATTTTTATCGTTTTGGATTTTTCAACTTTGCTTTTCGTCAACGAAGCAGATTTTATTTGACATGTTTCTATCGTCTGATTTGAGTTAATCACAGTTTCAGCTTTGAGCAGAGACGGTGTCGCGATAGAATGCGAGAAACTAATGAGAGATGAGAGACGATGTAATCGCGGGAGAACGGCGCGCACCACAAGGATCAATGAACGATTGTTCCTTAATACGCGGTACTCCACAGGTTGCAGTCGCGCGTATATTCTTCGCACGCGTCTCTCTCTCTCTCGTTCCACTTCGATCCTAATCGAGCGCGCCTCGCTCTTGATATCGAATTATCTCTGCTTTCCGCCGCGCCGCCGTTGAAAATCCCGCGTCTGTATTCGCGCCGAGCTGGTTTCCTTGTTTGGACGAGTGGCGCTCGAGCAATTTCAGAAGGATCGCGTTAAACAGAGAGATATTAATCCCCCTTAGAGTGTCTGCGCTTCACTAAGGCACTTCGGTGAATCACACGAGTGCTTTTCATTCTCGAGATTGAATCGAATGATGCTTTCTTTCTGTTGCAGTGATCTCGAGCGGGATTTGAGCTTGTCAGAAGATAGCGAGGATGAGGAGACCAAGGTAATGTATCTGAAGAGACTCTTTATTTGCTATTATATTTTGCGGTTTTATTAAATGTAAATTTATATTATTGTAATTTCGAATCAACCGTTGTATTATTGAACAATTAATTTTGAAATTATTAGCACAATAAACGTGTGATTTTTAAATTATTATTGTAAATCGTCGAAACGGCAGTTGCACTTTCGAATCGTCCCCTTTTTTGGTTTCTTGCACTGCTCAAAGCACTCTCGCAAATCGATTTGACCAAGTCGAGTTTGACAAAAACTAAATAGCCGTTCGTCGCGGCGAGAAAAATTTCGTTCCACTTTATTTCACGGCGAAATTACTGATAGCGGTCTTCTTCTTACCAGGAAACATCGTCGAGACCCACGAGAGGAAACCGAAGTCCGGTTCTTCCAATCGAGTATGTATATAATCTTTGAATTATGCATTGAAATTAATTTCAACTATAAAAAGTCAAATGTATATTTTATTCATTTTTATGACTTAGAACTTTTATATTGTATCATTCGGCAGGCGTAGAATTTTACCGCAACGTTTATATTTTAGGATTCTAGACTATATATTTCTTGTTTCGAAATATAAGATTTCAATTTATCATAATAAAGAAAATGTAAATTAGTTATAGTAGAAAATGTAAGTTATGTCTAAAATTCTAGGCCTGTCAAATATGTCATGCTCATAAAAAAACAAACAAACAAAAAAATTAATATCAATTTGCAATTTTATCATCAATTTGCATTATCTAGTGGCGGATTTGCATTTTGAGAGGCTTGAAAGATGCCTTTTACATACTTACAGTCTATTAACGACACCGATGATGTCGGCGATGACGTCGGCGATGACATCGGTGATGGCGACGGGAACGCAGGCTTTGGCACCCATGTCGCCTATGGTGATGTCACCTGCGGGACCACTGTCGCCTCAGCGGCAAAGCACTCCGCCTAGATACCAATCGCCTCCGAAGAGAGCGACGCCGGAGCGCGTGCTGTCTTCTCCACCTGCTGTCAATCATCCTCCGCCATCCACATGCTCGCCAACAAATCCGCCCGTTGTCGCCCGTTCGTCGAGTCCGGCCGAGGCGCCGCAGAGTTCCGGAAGCGGCAGCTCCAGCTCCGGCTCCGGCTCGGACTCCTGCTCGGACAGTAGCGATGATTCCGAGGACGAGGAGGACCTGTCGTCGGCGCAGCCGCCGGCCAAGGGGCTCACTACGCCGCCGTCGGTGTCGCCGAAGCGGGAGAATCTCGTCGAGGAACCGTTACCCGCCGTGGAGGAGCGCCGCTGGGATCTCAGTTCGTTCTTCAACAAAACAGCGGTGCAGCCCGGAGAGCAGAACTCTGATGTTAAGCCGGTTCAGGTAAGATCTATGTCAATTGAAGGCGTTGGGCGTCTCGATGCTTCGAGAATAACTCTAGAAGTCACTCGGGCAAAATGTCACTCTTTTAAAGATAAGATTTTTCACTTAAAAAAATAGATTATGAGTTATAATTTTTTAAAGAAATCTTAAAAGAATATGAAAATTGTATCTTATAGGAAAGCGCCCGGCGGGAGGATACGCAGGCGACAACGGAGACCAGCAGACCACATAGAGAACAGTCTCAGCAGTCTCATTGGCAGACCTTGAAGACGACTCACGAAGTAATGAGTCCTCTCAGCGATAGCGATCAGCCCTCCGAACAGGAGAAGAGTCATCAGTTGGTCGAAAACAATCGCGCTCAGCCGGAGAAGCCGAAGGTCGCCGACACTAAAAAAGGACGCGGGCGACCTAGAAAATCCATCAAAAGTCCGAAGCGCGGACACCGAACGGCGGAAGAGAATCTGAAGAGCAAGCCGCGCAGTCGGACGAGAACGGTCACCGGTCTTGGCAAGAAGAAACAACCGATTTCGAAGGAAAAGGTGCCTACGAGCGACGACAGCGACTCGGGATCCCAAAGCGATTTTGATAGCGATCGTCGACTGACGAAAGTGTCGACAGTCGTGCCGACAAGAACCGAGAAGAGATCGAGACTGAGCCTGTCGTCCAGCGACGACGAGAGTTCGCCGCTGAACAAGAAAAATAACAACAACAGTGCCTCTGAGGACGACGCCGCGCGATGGAGGAGAGTCCCTCCTATCAAGCGGAACAACCTGTCGGACTCGCCGAAGAAACAGGACAAGAAGAAGAGTCCCACAAAGAGCAAGCCCAGACGACCGAGATCCCGAGTGACCAACATTACCGGTGGCTCGGACTCCGATAGCGAATCGGAAATGTCCGTGAGGAATAGTCGTATTCAAGTTGCTCGGTACAGTATTTTTTATCATTATTTCAGCGCGTTAATTATCGATCTTCTTTTCTTTTTGTAAAAGTTGGTTTCTCTTTCTCTTATTCCTTTTATTTCACTCACTCTTTTCACCTGTGTTCCATGTTTAGATTTCCTTTACTTGATAAATAAACTTAACAATTGTACTTAATAGAGATATCGTATGTGACAGAGTGCCTCCCAGGCCTCGAGCACCACCCACGAGGACAACCTCTCCTGATAATTCCGACAGTGACAACAGCCCGGCGTCGAAACTGCAGGAGGACGACGCCGGCAATGTGCAAGATAAAAAGAAAAGCGACACGTTGCGCCACGTCTTCTCCACATCGAAGGGAGGTGGGAAGGGGGGTGGCAAAGGTGGCAAAGGTGGAAAAGGCGGCGGTAAATGCGGCATATACGTGGAGGAGTACACGAGTAATTCCGCTACGCACACGCCCACCGGCGGGGACAGTCCTTACAAGAGACCGTCCTCACGGACATCCAGTGGCGGCGGAATTCTTCTGCGCTCCCCACCAGCTCTCACCCACGTGAACGGCGTGCCGAGTCTCATGTGCAAGATCGATCTCAGCAGGATATCCGCCCACACGTTGCAACTGTGCAGAGGACAGGAGTTCAGGCAGCGAACGGAATTACCCGACACGAGGCCGTCTTCGAGGCAGAGACCGTCCTCCAGCCTGGCGACCTCGCAACCGCCGAGGCCATCCACGCCGGAGGAGGGCGAGATCATCGACACGCCGCCCCCGCAACAGGTCGCGTCGGACCGTGCGAGAATCCACCGTGCCGATGGTCTGTTGGGCGACGGTGACAGCGCTAGGAGTTCTCGTTCTGTGATCAAAGCTCAGTCGGACTCGAAGAGCGGCAGTGCTATACTCGGAAATGGTGGTGCTAGTGGTACCGGTGGTGCGGTCGGTGGCGGTAGCGCCCCCAAGAGGAAACGTAACCCGAGTTGTAGTTCCGTGTCAAGTTTGAGTCCGGTTCAGTGTTCGGTGGACGCGAAAGCCAAGAGTTCCTCCGAGCACAAGGAAAGGAGCCGCAAGAAGCAACGGGCACATGCTGCGAGTGATGGCATGACGTCCAGACCCCTGTCAAGTCAGGTATGGGCTTTCGTAAAAATTGATTTTCAACGCGACAAGTCGATGAAAAGTATCTATTTGCATCTGTAATTGCATCTTTTCACATTTTCGATCGCAATCATTTCTCGATTTTAATTTATGTTGTCCTGTATTTGATATATTTTTTTAATATTAATTTTTTTTGTATCAATAGCAAGCGGTAACTTTGTGAAGTTGCAGTCTTGTAGTTATGATACTTTTCATCGGCCGTAATATTTTAATAATAACACTCTAAGTTTAATATCTCAATGCTTACTTTTGCAGAAATATATATATAATTGAGAATCTGGATATAATATGAGTTTCAACTTCCTGATATATTCATGGATCAAATGAGTAAAATTTTGAACTAAATTGCAACTATTATATTTTATTACTTTTATCAAACAGACATTACAAAAATGTTATTTTTATTTTTAAATTAGTATATCTATATACGTAAGGTTCAATTTCCGGGCAAGGATATAAAAGAATAATAAAATAAAATAATTATTTTTATTTTTCAATATAATCATTCTTTATTTTAATATTTTAATTTTTTTGGAACGGTGAATTAATTTTTCTATACCAGTAAAAAACTATTCTGAATTGTCCTGAAAATAATTTAACACTGTGAAGATCGCTTCTTCGTTATTAGTAAATTTTTGTTCTTCTTTTATTTAATTTTTTTAAAGCTTTTATTGCAGTAGAATCGCGAGACATGTGTGGGATAGAGATAGCCTGCATGGCATCTGTGAATTCGTGTTCTAATTTGTTTAAATCGTAAACTTTTAAATCTCTTATGTATATACTGGCAATTCTAATGACAGAAAAATTTTTATTTTGTGCAATAACAGTGTAAAAATAAAATTTTGACTAATATCTTTGCAATTAGTAAATTATATAATTTGGGAATATTTTATGTTAATATTGTGTGTTTCTGTGATTTAATAATCTCAATTATAACATATTAAATGTATATCTTTTCAAAATAATTGATGTAAAAGGCTCTAGTGATTGACAAATATATCTTTTCGTTTTTAATTTATTTTTCACCTAATAACATTTTGTTTCCCCCACTTTCTGCAATGAAAGCGAAACATCTCTCCCCCTTTTTTCTTTTCTCTTTGTTTGCGAGATTCGACTAGTTGTCCTCTGTTTCTGACAACATTTGACAATCAAACGCCAACGATAAACGCGTATTAACTGACTGTCTAAATTTATCACTTTTTACTTCTTTGACTTTTGACTGATCAGGTTTGTAATTTGTATTTATTATGGACTATTGCTTTAATAATTTAGTTGTACATGATTTTTCTAGTTATATTTTTTTTACTTGTTGCTTGACGTGCTATTACACAACGATGAAGTGTACGACAAAGTTTAAGTATCCCGGAAAACCAGTGAGGTCTAAAGTGAGCTCTACAGTGAGAGTAATTAAGAATTTTAACATTTATTAATTATATATTTCAATATGCGATAATTTGCGTGCGATGTCAGATTTTTATCGCGTCTATTCACTGTAATCGTTTCATATTGAAGATTATACATTGATTATACAAATATTATTTCGTCAACAGCGTGAACGACGAGCCTTGGAATTTAGTCGTATTTCTCTCAAAACAATGCAAAATTATTTAACTGATATTGCGCGCATCCAGCTTCTCAATTATATCTTAATTATATTTTTATTTTAATTATTTAAGAAATGATATTGCGATAACAACTAAAATTTTATAGAATATATTCTAATTATTATCAATTATTAACAGCAAATGGATATTCAGCCGACGAATCATGAAAGGGACGAGAAGCAAGATAACAGTTTATTACCACCTCCACCTCTCCCATCTCAGCGCGTCTACTATTCTTATTTTGATATGCAGAATGAAATTTTGGAGGATCAGGATAGGTGAGTCTACGATTTAATATACGATGATAGTTGGAATATTTTACAAGACGTTATATTAGTCAAAATTTAAATTATATTATGATTACATTACACTAAAAAGGAACGAAACATGTAAACATGTTTTGAAATACTGGTAAAGTTGCATGAATAACTAGCATTGATCTAACATTCGATTCATTCTTATATCATTCGATTTTTCAGTTATGTCTTTCTCAATGTTGCATGTAAATTTTTAATATCGCGATATAATAATCGACCGACCGGCAGTGTTGTATAGAAATGCGAGAAACAGGAAAGCGGTGATGAAGCTAGCGAAAATCATAGGCTATTTTCTCCGAGTGATTTTGGGGGTGCGAAGCCAGTAATCACGGCAATCTTAGAAAAATGGCAGCAGCTTTGCGGGATCTCGCCTAACGTGTCTGACTTCGTGTTTCAGGGACCACGACCAGTACCTGACCGAAGCTAAGCGATTAAAGCACAATGCTGACGAGGAGACCGATCTTACGGCGCAGGGCATGATGTATCTGGAGGCCGCCCTATATTTCCTTCTAACCGGTGACGCGATGGAGTCGGATCCTGTTACAGAAAAGGCGTCATATACTATGTACAAGGACACTCTGAGTCTCATCAAGTGAGTACTAATTAAGACACATACTCCGTTAGAAAAGCACGCTTTGCTAATTAAAGCGATCTCCGATTTTACAGATACATTTCGTCGAAGTTCAAGAGTCAGCCTAACAACTCACCTGAGAATAGTATACATACCAAGCTGGCCATTCTAAGGTGAGTGTCCATGCCTACTTTTCACGTGAGATTTTTCCATTATCTTGTTCGTATGCGTGTCTCTAATTTCGATTTCTGCTTGTTCTTCAGTCTTTGGTGCCAGTCGCGTCTGTACTCTAAGCTTTACAATCTGCGCAAGCAGGAGGTAAAAGAGGTCCAAAAAGTCATCAACGACTTCACGAATCAAAAGGTGAGCATTCGGTTAAATTTTTTCGCGTTAAACTAAGCGTTTTATTATCCGAATCACAATCATATGACTTTCTTGCTTAATATATTCGTTGCATATGTTATAATTATTATCTTGTGCGCGATCATTGAAGGATTACTTTGACGTTTTCAGCAATCTGCTCAGCAACCTGCTCAGCAACCTGCTCAGACAACGCCTGTACAACCAGAGGGTCAAGGTACACCTTCCCTCTCGCCTACACCTTCGCCCGCTGGTTCCGTAGGTTCAGTCTGCAGCAGTTCTGGATACAGTAGCGGAGGCGCGCAGGGTGCAGCAGCGTCGGGCCAATACGTCACCATGCCATTACATGTCTACAACGCGATGATGAAGCAAAATCAGTGTTCGGGTTTGCTTTCGAATAGTTACGATCTGTGGGACCAGGCAGTAAAGCAGGCGAAGCAAGATGAGCATAGAAGTACGTATGCGAAATAAAAACGTCTATCAGACATTAACCTAAAAAAGAAAAACATTAACCCGAATTAAAATTTTGTTCGAGTGTAATATCGTTTCTTTTTCCTTGCGCCTTCCAGGCTTTTTCGTCGACTTGGACCGAAAATTGGGACCCTTGACAGCACATAGCTCGCTGCGCGAACTTGTACGCTACGCTCAAGCGGGTATAAAGAAGTTACGAGCTCTCTGACCACAGTGGCACAGCCCCCGACCACCCACCCCAAACTACATTACCTCCCTTCCTCAAAACATGGCTACATACTCGACCATGTACACGTAGCTGCGTAATATCGTCACATTGCATTAGTCACCTTGACGGCAACCAACGACCGGACCGGCAGTGCTGTACGGAGAATGCGAGAGACAGGAAGGTGTGTGACGGTGATGTTAGGCGAAATCACAGACTAATTTTCTCCGAGTGGTCTTGTTGGGGGAGGGGGGGGGGTGCAAAGTCAATAACCAGGGTCACGGCAATCTTAGGAAAATGGGGGAGAAAACAGAAGCAGCTTTGCGGGATCTCCCTTAATCGGGCGATTCGGACGACACGGGGGCATTTTTGAAATAAATTTAGCAGCAAGTTTTTAGTCAATTGCGAAACGCGTGCCTGAAGGGGCGAGGAGGGAGTGGCCGTTTGCACGGGAGAGAGTCGCTTATCCTACCACGGTGCATAACGGACCTCGTGCACTTTGTTTAGAGCACGTGTTACTTACTCTCGAGGCGCAGTGGAGAATCGTCGAGCGGAAATGATATCGAGGCGCTCGTCGTGGGCGGCCGATGCGAGCGCGTTAGATTTGTAGCGATAACTTGTGTCTATTTTTCCGAAGTGTCCGCTTTTGTAAGTTAACGCATGTAGATATCGAGAGTTTCGGGAGGCGAGTCAGAAATGGAGGAAGAGAAGAAGGGGAAGGGGGAAGGGCAGGGGGGGAGGGGAGAAGAATCGAGCACGAAAAAGAAACTGGAAACCACGAGGGGGGGGGGGGGTCGTAGAAGTGCCAGTGAAAAGCGCCCGTGTGTTCTCGCTTCACGGTGCGCCACAGCCGACGTTACCTGAAGCATAAGTGTCGTTTCGGCGATCCGAGTGCGATGCATATAGCAAGAGTATATACATATTTAATATATATATAGTTTATTACCTATATAAATATATAAATAGTTATAAAGATAAGAATATATTTAATGACGAAGAGAGAGAGATAATGCATCTCGCGCGCCGGCGCCGCGTTTCAATATAGGGGAACAGTTGTATCCGCGAACGCAGAGGGGGAGATATCGTGATAAAACGAAGAGCAAGTGAGGGGGACGGGGGGGGGGCGAGATTAGAGATGTTATCGGTGGAGAGATGCGCGAGCAACAGGATCAAGCGATGTACCATAGTTACGTCTAACGTTTGCGTGCGAAAGACACGACTCTTTTTTGTAGATAGATCGACGGGGGGGGGGGGGGGAGTAAGAGTAAGCTTAGACTAGAGTAATTAATATTGCAACAGAAAAAAGCAGTAACAGACGCGACTACCAATACATATTATTTACATTATCTAGAGTTAATCCGGGGAATTAGTAGAGGTTCTAGTGTGATAAAACGTAAGCAAAAGAAAAATACAGAATATATCGCATACACACATATACATAGCATGATTTAAAACGAAAAAGCGAAATGCCAGAAGGGGGGGGGGAAAGAAAGAACAAAGCGAGATAAACGCTAGAGCGTATCGACATGAGGTGACAAAAGAGACGATAACAAGCGCAAAACGGATAAGCAAGTTGCTCATGTGTATATTTTTGTAAATAGGTATTTGTGAGTGCCGCCGTCTTGAGGGCGGTCCACCGTCGTTGAGTCTGCGGTGGACCGGCCCGCCCCAATTTTTGCTACCACAGAGATCTTGTCGAGAATCAAGTAAGAGATTACAAACAGATAGAAAAAAAAGAACAATATAAAAGACGTAGCGAATAACACACACGACGAAAAATGTCTGTCAAATTTGTTCCGCAAATTATTTCGAAGAAAAATTCATTCTCCACGTTTTGTTTTCTTGGAGAATCTCGCCCGTTCGTGCATTCACGTTACTCTTTCTCTTTCTCTCTCCCTCTCTCTCTCTTTCTCTCTCTCTCTCTCTCTCTCTCTCTCTCTCTTTCTCTCTCTCTCTCTCTTTTTCTGATGAGTTTTTGATTTGTCCTCATTCTTACGATTGATTTCCAGCATTGACTTTTGGGAAATCGTAAAATTCTGAACGTAACAGCTTTGTTTGAATTTTTTTTTTTTTAGAGACTTAAATTGCTTCACATTTAAACGCATCTCTTTTCTGACGCACGATCTCAATGAAATCGCGATTTAGGCAGTGGGGAAAGTAACAACCGGCATTCGTGGGTCCACTTTTCTCGATATAACGCTGATGAATCGAACTTGGGAAATCTAAAGACACGAGTAGGAAACTTTTATCGACTCAAAATCGACAGAGACGCGATCGCGTAGTCTAACATATCTGTGTTCACGAGTTTCATTTCTCCTTAAGATTTGACAAACGTCATTCAATTAGATCGGAGAACTCTATCGGGAGCGTTTCTCCGGGAGCGTAGGACCAATTACCATTCGTACAATTGTTGCAATAAAATCACGCTGCTGTCGCGCGTTGCCGATCTCGTTCTACTGGCAACGTCAAGAAGGAAGGAAAACTGCAGCCGGACGCAAACGGTCTGGCGGGATGACGATGGCCCATAGTTACTAAGCGCGGTCCAATGGTTCATGGGATACAATTTTATATTTCGCGAGTGCTAAAGCATAAAGAGAGGAGACTAAAAAAGTAATAAAAAAAATAAAAAAAAAAAAAAAGAAGAGAAAGAACTCTATTAAGGAGCTTCGAAATATTTTCGAGACACATATTTATAGCAGATACATATATCAGGCCCATTTTCCCGCGAGGCCGATCGCCCGAAACGTAACGGAAACGCAAATTCGACAAACCAATTTTAACAAAATCGCACAAGCTCGCGGAGTTTATCGAGAAAAGAACACCACGTGGCTGGGCAATGTTTCTTTATGAGGGGGGGATGAGTTTACGCGTTTGCATGACGAATGGAAAATTATCGACTTACATAGATGAATTTTTTTAATATTCCTTTTTTTCCATTTCGAGCATGATGCATGTTCCTGTACAATTCCCAAAGATAAATAATGGGTGCTGTTGCTCTGTAATGCGCCGGATAAGCAGCGCGAGTTCTTGTCAGAAAGCATTCGCTTCTTTCTGATTTTTTTTAGTTTCCTTTTTATTTTTTTTTTATCGATTTAACAATGAGTGATTCACGGAGTCGCGTCGCGCGCGATTTTTGCTATAATTCTCTTTAAGCTATTCATTAATATCATCGTTACTGTTATTGTTAGCATTGATGATATTATTGGCAATAGATAATAGAAGTTACAATCTGGTAATAATAATAATTATTATATTAATAATCATAACAGTACTAGAAGTATGAATAGTAATAATAATAGTAACAGTAACGATGTTACTATTTACTTATAATAATTACATTATACGAATAATCTTAGCCTTATTAGTTTTTTCGAGATATTTTTAACGAGTGAGAGAATGCAAAAACGAGGTGAAGTGATGCGTGGGGGAAGAGAGTGAAGACGTGCGCGCGTTAATTCCTACTTTTATCACAAAAACGATGGATTTTGATCGGGCGAAAAACGCGACGGATATCATATCTGTAAGAGACTTCGGACAAGTTTTGTTTAGCGTCGTTTGATTTCTTAGCGTCGTCTCCACACACACATTACTCTTGTACTTGTAAAATATTTATATATGTATATATTATTTATATATACATACACATTACATTGCGTGTACATATACATATATATGTTAAAGAGACAAAGCATACACACACGCAATCTTAATTATGATTATATTATTATATTATTAATATTATTACATTGATTATTGATGCGATAATTATTTTATTATATTCGTGCGGGGTATGTAGCATGCTACTCAATTTCCGAATACACAATCAGGCGTTGTGGCCGCCGCTTAACTTCCCTATCCATCGCGATTGTGCCAAAAAGGTCTCTGAAAGGTCTCTGAAAGGTCTATCACGATGATTCTCAAAAATATTATTCATAATATAGACCGTTCTGATAACAGCGTTATCGCTTTTTTACATGTTACGACCACATATCAGAAAATATTACTATTAAAAAAAAAAAATAGTGAACTTTACGTTTTATATTCATAATATTTATATGTATTTATAATTATTTTATTATAATAATAACTATTATGATACGCTTATCAGTTATTATATACTTTACAAATTTTTTAGCGATTATTCGATAATCAGGAAAGTTATAAAGTTATAAAGTTTTCGAGTCTATTTTTCTGACATGCAGTCTTAAACGTGTAAGAGGGCAACCGATGATGCGTGGTGGCTGCAAAACGTTATGATTTTGCAAGTAGGGAACGAGCGAGGCGAATGGATAGGGGTAGTTTGATGGCAGCTCCAATTGGCGAGGCAATCGTATGCTGCCTGTACCGAATAATGCACAAGTAATTCGATTGATTGCGTTGATTGCGTTCAACGACGACACGACACACGCATGAAACGGACTCCGCGTACTCCTACGACGGCGAGGGTAGAAGCAACCCCTTCTCCACCTCCCCCCACCCTTCTCCAATCATTTATTATTTGCATCTTTTCTTCCTTTCTTAGGCTTCCAATTTATTATGTGGCTCGATTGTAATTTGATACCGGAGGAGAGCCGCGAGTGCTTTTGATTTTAATTTTTTTCCTTCCCCCCTTCCCCCTCCCCCCCCGTTGTTATTGCAACATTTGTGATAATGATAATGTATAGAGGAGCTACCCTCCCTTCGTGAGACGCGAAGCTCCGTCGAGCTGAGTAAGCAATATACGCGACAGACGGCCGTCTCTGATTAGCATTACTATCATGCGATAACATGTGTGCTGAGATATACAATATATAATATACATATATATATATATACGTCCACACATACACGTACATACCGCATCGGCTAATTGAACGTTCTCTGGGCATACTTAACGAAACAGTGTCAGCGACGGACAGACAGACGGGCGAAGAAGCCGAAAGGGATAGACTGGAGGAAGAATGGTAGGCGAGAGATTGATCGGAGGTTCGATGAGGGGAGCAGTCGGAGAACATGTGAATGACAAACTGCACCAAGGAGAGACCAAATTAATGTCGCATAATGAAATATAACTTCCTACTTGCTTTTTATTTATTTTAATTGTTAATTAATTAATTATTGTATTTATTGGCGCGGAGGCTGACACACATACACACACACACACACACACACACACGCGTACACGCATCATTTTTCCAGGAAATACGAATGAGACACGAACACACGTACAAATGTGCCCGGCCGAATCAGTGACTTCCGCAAATGATTCAAAATCTGTAAGGAGGTAAAATTACTGGAGATTTTGTGAGCGTTATTATAAAAGAATTTTCGACGTTTCCGTCGAACGGAACGAAGTTTTCTTAAGTAGCACTTAGAAAATCTTCAATTTTGATTTTTTACAAGAATTTTGAATCACTTGCGAAAGTGACATCTGTTCGATCGATTGATAAAAATTCAATATCGTGCGTCTGAAGAAGTTCATGTTATCGCGAGTGATTCGCCGGCATGCGGTGGATCATTAATTTATCGACCTCGCCACGATCGAGCTTTTAATTTACGCATCATTTCGGACTATGTAATTAATATTAATCGCGCCTAAGAATCTTGAACGATTATCGATCGCGATCGATCGACACTTTCGGCCGTGCGCATTGTTCGCCGTAGCAATACAACTTCCTCGTTAATCGCAGATAATTTATTTCGTCGTTGGTACACACATTTTCGACATGTAGCGGATGGAAGGAAGTACAAAATTTACATGGCGAACACGAAGTGACTTGTAATACTCTATCCTTCGACGAATGTATATCTCGTAAACGTTCCAGATGCCTCACCTTGTACATCAAGTGATCAATATAAATGCAAAACTTTAATACTTACACTACCCAGTCCCCTTTTATTACTCACGTTGCCAAAAGACTCCGTGCGAAGTTGACGTTGTAAGTGAATTGAATCGAAAATGAGATTGCCGAGATGACGATCGTTCCTTGCCAGCATGCTCTTTTCCTTTCGACAAATCTCGCTTCTTTCACTTTCGCTTGATATACGCAACGCGAGCCGCGACAACCACTCCCGGCTACGCTTCAGTTTTCATCGCGTGCACTCGATCGGGTTATGTGTATATCATCGCATTTGCGCGCACCTTGCGTCCTCCCGCAGACACGCGCCGCAAAATACATGTTTCCACGGTGAACCCTTTGATTTCACGCCCGCGCGAATTAAAAACAAAAATAAGCTAAACGAAATGGAATCACATGAGACAACGGCGACAGGGGAGATAAAACGTGGGAAGAGAAAGACCCGTGACAATATATACATATATACATATACATATATATATATCTATATATTTGCGAGATATTTTGTGAAACAGGGCTTTTTTACCTATTTTATAGTAATCTCAGCTTAAACGGATTGAGAGAGTGGGAGCGAGAGCCTTTACTAAAAAAAAAACAAAAAAAAAAAACAAAAAAACAAAAAAAAATAAATTAAAGTGAAGTGACGAGGATGTTGGTGAAATGATGTATAAGCAGTTGATAAACGGTCTGTAAATGCGTACATACATTACATAAATGCCGTCGTTTAAAGGGACGGTTCCACTGTAACGTATATCCTACATTTTTGTTTATGTTTTGCGTCTTAAATTTGCATTATTGCTATTATTATAATTATTATTAATTATTTCGATTATTATTATGTTTAAGATTCTTATTAATTATTATTATTATTATTATTATATCATTGTGTATATGGTATAAATTGTAAAAAGGAAACATATTTACTATATCATATTCATTTTGCGGGATATTCCCCGAATGAACAAATTGTTTAAACTAAAGTGAAGGAATAAATAAAATATTGACCAAATTAAGGTGAGATTTGCTTTTCTATTATTATGTCTCTCTGTCCATTATACACCTTATTTTCAACATCCACAACATATACATATACAAAATATTTAAAGAAGCAATATACGCATAGACGAATAATTGTACGCAAAACGCATTTTCGTCGAATTGCAGATTTTTTAATCAATTTTTAGTTGACTTTTATATATTTGTGTACATAAATTTGTAGTTTCAAGCGATTAAAAATAAAGAATTAAAAAAAAAACTAAATTTTAGAATTGCTAATGCCCTGTCTCAACCGAAGGATGAACTTGTGTCTCATCCGAGTGAATAGTTCGACAAGTTAAAGTTATACCGAAGCTTCTAATCATGTCAACTGTATGAAATAATTTTTTTTATACAATTAATCCATTTTTTAAAATTGCAAACTTCTGGTTTTTAGGTTGCCAACATATCTTTCTTTTGTCGTTATAATACGCAATGAACGTTTGAAGTATCTGAGACAACTTATGTGAATATATTGTGCGATCTGATGTACATCAACAAGGATTTCGGATATCTCGGTCGAGTTCGCAGCATGTTTGAATTTAAAAGATTTGAACACTATTGTTTACAATTGCTTCTCAATTATTAAAATAACTCCGATTGACGATATATAATGATATATCTCGCGATGCATTTTTTTTCATCCGTTATTTTGACCAGCGCAATTAATTATCTGTGTAGATAAGATATTTATAATTGAAAAATATTGATCAAAGAACTTCATTATAGAAGATTTCTTCATAAAGTCTGA